AGGGGATGGGGTGCCTACTTGTAAAAAAAAAAAAAAAAAAAAAATCCAATGGTATTTTCATCAGCTGCTTGATGTTTTTTGTGTCAACAGTGTTAAAATGAATATGGCTTTTCATCATTAAAAGTTTGATTTTTAAATGATGTTTGCTGTTCCCGTTATTAGTCCATTTCTTACATGTGTAAGAGAGGAAAGCACCCCCAAGAGAATCCTCATGCCACAGTACACCTTCAGCTCCAGCCAGCCCCTGGTCACATGCACATATGCACACCTGGCATGTTCAGGGAAGTCTCTGGATGTGAACTGAGAACCTTTCCATGTCAGTCACTGTGTTACCTCTGCGTGCAGCCCAGCCCCTTGTTTTTATTGTTTGTTTTTGAAGTTCAGAGTTTGGAGAATTAGAGATCTGCAGGGTACCTGCCATCTTTACCCAATAGAAATTCAGAATGCCTCAGTTGTGGGGTTATACAGGCATACACACATATATTTCTTATTAATTGAGAATGAGATTTTTTCCATTGATGCATAAAAGCTACAAGCTCCTAGCATAGAGCAGCTGGAGCTCCAAACCACTAGAGCAGCCACAGATGCACTCATGGAGAGTGAATTCTAGATGAGAATCATTTTTTCAGCTTGAGTGATTCAGCCTTCACTGCAGCCCCAGAATGAGGAGAGCTCTGTGCCTGGGAGCAAGGCAGATTTATAAATGGTATTCATTGCCTCTTCACATTTAAAGGAATTTGTACCCGCGCGGAGAAGTCTAGTGTAGAGTTATCTCATCGGCTGGAATTATAACAGTCTGGAAAATATGTGCATTCAAGTCATTCCCAAGAGACAAGTCCCTCAAATAAATTATGCCTGCAAAGTTCCAAGTGACCCCCGCTTGTAGAAACGTCCTGACAATGCAGACGAAGATCGCAAACAAATAGGGTAATAAGAGCGAGAACTGCAAGCGGCTCCCATTCATCTTGGGGCAATCAGCTGCCACCGGTGCTGGTAAGCATGTGGTGGTGTGGCCAGAGAGGGCCATTTGGTGGGCTACTGAGCAGAGGCAGGACTACCAACAGCGGTGAGACTTGCTGAAGTTCTGTTGAGTCAGCCTAAGAATGTAAGCTGAATGATAGTGAATGAACTTGTGAGGAGGGTGGCAGGAGTGATGGTTTACTCTACAGCCTTTCTGTCTCTCTACGTCACTTGCTCTGTTTTGTTTTGTTTTGTTTTGGTATTTGCTGAAGGTTACGTGTGCTTGCCAGAGAGAGGAAGAAGAAAGCACCCCCCTCAATGGGGCATGGCCATGCTACAATCATTTCTCCATTTATTTCTCCATCCCATTGGATTTTGGGCATGCTTGCACACATGTCTTCTGTGTGTTTAAGAATTATTTTATTTAACTTTGTTATTATCATTATTATTTTCCAGTTTGATCAGAGAGAGACAAAGGGGAAGTGAGAAAGCAAGTCACCAGGTCCAAGATTCAAACCATAGTCGGCCTTTTGGGAGCTCAACATTCTTAACCACCATGCCTCCTGTCAGCCCCTGTGTGTGTGTGTGTGTGTGTTTTGCTTTATTTTAAGAGATTTGCTATAGGGCATGTATACTCTCTGGAGAGAGACAGACAGACAGACCAACAGAAAGCCAGAAATAACCCCCCAGGGTGATGGCCAAGTAGCAATCCCTTCTCCATTCTCTTGAGATTTGGGACTCACTCGTACATGCACTCAACATGAGTTTCAAGCCCCTGAGTCTGGGACTTGAACCATGGTCTGTTGTGTGAGAGTTCAGTTCCTTAACCATTATACTGCCTGCTGGCCCCACCTGCCATGTTTTTTTAAACCACTGGGGCTGGTATCCAAACCACTCAGTCAGCCATGTGGGATCTGGCTTCCTTAACCACTAGGCCATGTGTTCTGCTCACTCTAAGTTCTTCTGTTCCCAGCTTTGTTCCTCATTTGGGCTGAATCCGTAAACCAACTCTATGCGACATGGACAGGCAAACATCATAGCAAAACTAACGTCCATGGTAAGAACAGCACATTTTATTGGTACTGTTTTAATGCCTAACATATATTACTCATTTAATTCTCACAGTGACTGTTGAATACAGCAGGGGTTGGCAAACTACAACCTGGACCAAATCTATCTGCCTGTTCTTTGTACAGCCCGTGGGCCCATGCACTAAGAAGAATTTAAAAAAATATTTAAAGGATATATTTATAACAGGTGAAAATTAT